GGCTGAATTCATAGCTCATTAGTCAATCTAGCCGGAGTCACTACAATGACCTATACGGCACTACACTGCACACAAGTCGGAACCACTAAAAGGGTTTGTACGACAAGACTGGGTGTAATATAATTATACTCAATACTATATTTTCATGATAGCTGGGCAATAAATCGATAGTCACCTACACCTACGAGTCGGAACCACCTATGATGGTCTGTACGACAAAAATGTGCACCTAAATTGGATCCAATGTGAGCATATGGTGCGGGAGGTGACATTATAAACAGGCATGTGCCATATCTCTGGCTAAATCATCACTAACACCGGAGTGCAGGTTTATGAGCTCTATGCTTCTCAATTAATCACAACCGTTATTCACATTCACAATTCATGAACTCACCTGGGTTTACCTGAGCGTCCACAGCACCACAATTATATATTATGCATCGTATACTAATTCATATACTGAACATAAATTTATATGCATGGCATTTCAAGGCATACTTTCATTTAAACGCATTTTCTGGGAAAATATCAAGTATATAAGTATATATGAAAACCAAAAGCCCACTCACTAGTATGTCGAATGGTCGTAGCCCCCGAGTCGCTCTTGACTATGCTCGTCCTCGGGATAAGTCCCCCTTATAAGCGAAACAACTATAAAAATGTTAATTTAAAGCACATAACCAATACTAGCTAATAACTTCTCATACATTGATCAAATGGGATGTTTGAATATACCAACGTGATCTACACAACCTCACGAACATCCCCATATTTTTAGAAAAATTTTCCGACCCCTCATGCCCCACCACGTGCCTGGCACACTGACGGGGGCAGTTAATGCCGTCAGGAATATTCCGTTAAAATCTAGGATATTTCAACTAACAGCGTTACCTTACGCCGTTAGCATATTCGGTCAAAACTAACGGAATATGCTTCTTTTTCCTCGACGACTCACCGGACGCCGGCGACTGTTCGCCAGTTTTTTGAAAAGTTTCTAACCCTAATTTCTCTCTCATTTTAACATCAAACTTCATGAAACTTGAAGCATTTTGAAGATCTCACCAAGACGAACAAAACCATACTTGAGTTGAGCCCTGAAATAACCAGAAACCCACCGGAAAAAGCCTCGATACTCCGGTAAATCTTAAAACCCGTCGTTTTCGATGATTTGACGTCCAATTTCTTCCAACGAACCACTAAGAGCTTCGTGAGAACCACCTAAAGCTTCATGTGAGCTTGAAATCCCCAAAACACACGCTTTTACGTTTGCATGAATAGTGACAAAAATTGGGTTAGGGTTTTCATGAATTTTCGAAGAAGTTCTTACCTAAAAATGGTACCATTCAACTCGTATGAACCTCATGAACACAATGGTGCCCTTTGAACCCTCGATCTGTGCGTGTATGGTTGGTTTTGAAGTTCGTCCGTACGTTTTGTGCAGATTTTCTGAAACATCCTTGAGGGAGGAAAGAGAGAAGGCACGAGAAAGAGGGAGAGTTTGTGTGTGTGTGTGTGTGTGTGTGTGGTCCATGTGGGTCACCAACTAAAACCAAAGAAAACACTTTGAGTCCTAAGTGTTCCAAAACTTAGGAAAAATTTAGAATTTGTCCAAATAAATTTAAACTTAAACCACACCACCACATAACTCAATTATATCTCAACGTCCAAAGGTCATTTAGTAACTTCCACGCCATCGATAATTTATTTCGGGACGGGCTGTGACACAGAAAGTTTAACAAACCATTCGGGATTGATGAAAAAGAATGAAACCCAAATACTCATCTTCTAAACTTTAAAAAAATTGAAATCAAACGAACAAAATATTCATAAATTGAGTCATATCTTAGTTGGTGGATTCAAAACTTCAAAATCACCATCCATCAATAAAAAAAGTTGGTTTTTCTCTACAAGACCTATTAAGGTTTTAGCTAAGAATGAACATAGGATAAACAAGAAGTTATGGTAGGGTTTAATGGGTTTATTGATAAATTTGAATTTTATTATTAATTTCATTTTGTACTTAATAGTAATTATGCAATATGGTAAAATAAACAATTAACAATTTAAATTTAAGTTAGGTGTAGAAAGATATTACATGAATTCAAATAAAATTTCCCTTAAATAAACCTTCTATGCAAGTTGCTCTCTTGTTTTTAGACGTCTCAACCTAAAGTTCTTGTTGCGATCATCCTATCATCTGAATATATTTTCCAACAAGTTGAAGGCTAGTCACTGATTGAGTTGTTGATTTGGTATGATTTTAATCAGAAAAAGGGCCTCCCGTTTGAATAATGGTGGGCAGGATGGTACTAAATATTAATATCTGTCTTTGACCCACTTTACTTGAAAACGATCGTTCCCGAATTGGACGTTTCAAAATGTTGAAGTTGATAGTGTAGTTATAATTGATCACAAACGTACGTGACCATTCGTTGAAATGAACTCTTGGACCTTGACCGTTGATCGATGCCATTTTTCTTCATGAAATCCAAGTTTTACATTTTCTTTTTGTTCATGAAGAAAATCGATATTATATTTATTGAAAAAGAAAAAAATTAATACAAAGATGAAAACAAACAAAAAGGGGATGTTGAAGAATTAGGTGGATCAAACTACTCATGAAGTTTGGTTGTTGGACTACTATTGTACCCTTATGCTCTTACCCTTACAAAATGGGGAGGAAGAACTAATATTCTTGGATTTATGGCTCATTTGAAAATACTTTTAAAATGATTAAAAGCGGTTTTTAGTGAAAATATTTTTGAAATCAATCCCTAGTAAACATTCAAGTGGATCTTGTAAAAACACTATACTTGCTTCATGTAAGAATCATATATCTGGTGTTTCTTCCAAAAAACACTTAAAGTGCTTTTGGAGCCCAAAATCATTTTCTCAAGAGCATTTTCAATCATTTTAGAAGCACTTTCAAACTAATCATTAGTCATTAATTACAATATTAGGTTACTTCTTTCCGCTCAAAGCAAGTAAAAAAAAAACTCCCATATATAGTGACTCATTGTCACCCCAAGCTTCTTCTCAAGTTGTACATTTTCACGAAACCAATCAATCAACTAATTGCAATGAGTTGGCCATAATAATTAAGTAACGAACTCGTCATACAAGTGAATCAAACTTGAGTGAAGAATATTGTTAGACTATAGTCATATTTTTTTTTTGTATCTTATATTAGAAAAAAATCGAATCTTAAACATATCATAATCTTAATTTATTATCGCATTATTCTTCACTAGTTGAATTTACCCCAAGAGTTAAGGTCGATCCAAAACAAATTGAATTAGATTATTTTGAGAAAATGCTAAGGAGGCTACATCTTTATACTACATTGATATGTTATCTGATGTGACAAGTGATGTGTATATGTCACATTAATTAATAAATATCTTATCTGATGTTGGTTTATGCATCACTTACCATATAAAATAGTACACTAATATAAATTCAAATTGTAATCTCTCTAACATTACTTTTTATTTTGATTCACTTAAAAATAATAAAAAATTAAATACCAAATACGATTTTATACAAAATAGAAATATTGTGACTCATGAATCATGAGTGTGGTAGGGTCTCAAAGTAATTTCCAAATATAGAATGAGTCATGGCATGGCTTTTAAATAAAGGGATAAGGAAAGAAAGAAAAGTGGTGGAGATAGCACTTGAGAGTTTATTCTCTTTCCTTTTTTTTTCCTTTCTCCATTTCCGTTCATTACTTATTCCCTTTTCAGAAACCAAAAAAGCAAAAGAAAAATGTTCATCCACCCAAAACAATACTCATTCATGCATGACTCATCAACTAGATATTTTGTTATAGTAGTCATTTAATAATACGGTATAGTAATATTCTTTGTACTTAGTGGGAGACTTGAGGTTTGAATCTCATGAACAAAGAATTCGATATCAATTTAAATGGCTGACCTATTGTGTGGTTCAGTCTTGTCCCTTATCCCTTTAGTGTAAATAATACAGTTGTATTCATAAGTCATAGTACAATGAGCAACCATAACAAATTGGTATCGAACTCACAATCCAAGTAAGTCGAACTTAAACTTGTTTCCTAATGCTCTTGAAATCACATAAATCAAAAGTAGCATACAAATTCGGACGGCAATCAGAAGACGAAGTCGAACAACCGACTGCTGACCCAAAAGAAGGAAAAGTAATAATAAAGCACGATGTGGGGTATCAAGAAACACAATCACTGAATCACATAATCCTAATAATAATCCACATGCTTAATAATTCCGCTAAAGTCATGTACTTGAAAATTTTAACAGACATGGTCAATTGCAAAATTCGCCCTTTAAATATTTGGGTTTTCTTCATTTTGGTGCTTTCAAAATCATCTTAGTTGAATTTTCCCATTTGGTATATTGTAAATTTTATATCTACAATAAACATGACATAATCAATAAAAAGCCGTGATCATTTTTAGAAAATTGACGAAAACTGACACGACTAAACAATATGATTTAAATTATTTATCTACATGTGTCGCAATCTAAGTAATGTTTTCAATACCATTGTTTGCAAAAGTACTCTAACGTGGAGTCCTAATCTCGATTAGTTCTACATTTATTACAATTGTTCTTGCTCGATATGAGATGTTTCTTTAACGACATAGATCAGATAATGGCTTGTTCTGTCCAAAAAATCAATCAGACTGAATTTCATCCGTCATTAACTTTGTCAACTTTTATAACGAAGCCAATCTACGGGGTAGACCCTTGTTAAACACACTTGGGAAGGAAAAACAATGAAGGACCAAGTTGCAATAATCCATAATGTTCAGGCGATAAACCAAAATTTGACCCCAAAAAATTAAAAGTAAAAACAGTAAAATAGGCGCGTATCTGACGGCCAAGGATGAATAATGATGGTCGGCCGTGGCCCCGTGGAGATTTCGAGGACGCCACGGAGCATCCCATTTGACGGGTCGCACAAAACACGCTCAACGCCGTCGCCCACTCTCTACGCGCCTATTTCTCAGAGTGTTATTTTATATGCTCGCAAGAAGAACACACACACACACTCACATTTTTAGATAACTTTGAGAAAACCAACCACATCTCTCTCTCTCTCTCTCTCTCTCTCTCTCTCTCTCTCTCTCTCTCTCTCTCTCTCTCCCTTCTGGCGGCGCGTTCAGTTCAATCGCAGCTGCGCTATGGGACAGTCCTATTCGTTTCCTGAGTCTCCAGCGGAGCACAGTCCAAGAGAAATATCAACGAGCCGCCGTTTCGGCTTCAAATCGGTGGCGATTGGTTCATCCTTGAACGACGAAGACTCCGAGTTTCACGGGGAAGTCACCCAGGGCCGTGACTACACCTCCGATCTTCCCGACGAGTTGTTGGCGAGTATTTTTCACTTCCTCGGTGCCGGAGACCGGAAACGAAGCTCGCTCGTCTGCCACCGGTGGCTGAGAGTCGACGGCCAGAGCCGGCACCGCCTCTCTCTCAACGCCCAGGCCGGGCTCCTCACTTTCCTGCCTGCTCTCTTCGCCCGCTTCGACTCGGTCACGAAGCTCGCTCTTCGATGCGATCGCAAATCGATCAGCCTGGACGACGACACTTTGGTCCTGATCTCGATTCGCTGCAGAAACCTTACGCGCCTCAAGCTCCGCGGCTGCCGGGAAATCACGGACCTCGGAGTGACCGCGTTCGCGCAGAACTGTAAGGGCCTGAAGAAGCTTTCCTGCGGCTCCTGCATGTTCGGCGCCAAAGCCATGAACGCCGTCTTGGAGCACTGCCCGGCGCTCGAGGAGCTCTCCGTGAAGCGGCTCCGCGGTGTCCACGACGGCTCGGAGCCGATCGGCGACAAAATTGCGTCGTCGTCGCTGAAATCGATAACCTTGAGGGAGATACTGAACGGACAGTGCTTCGGGCCGCTTATCGTCGGCTCCAAGAATCTCAAGACCCTGAAGCTAATCCGCTGTTTGGGGGATTGGGATACGGTTCTGGAAAAGCTTGAAAATGGAAACCAGAGTTTGATTGAAGTTCATCTGGAGAGGTTGCAGGTGACCGATTTGGGGCTTTCGGCAATTTCGAAATGCTCGAATTTGGAGGTTTTGCACATTGTTAAGGCTCCTGAGTGTTCAAATTTCGGGCTTATCTGTGTTGCCGAAAACTGCAAGATGCTGAGGAAGCTTCACATTGATGGATGGAGGACGAATAGGATTGGGGACGAAGGTTTGATTGCCATAGCCAAAGAGTGCCCAAACATACTGGAGCTTGTTCTGATTGGTGTGAATCCTACCTCTTTGAGCCTAACTGCAATTGCCTCCAATTGCCAAAAATTGGAGAGGTTGGCGCTCTGCGGTAGTGGATCAATTGGAGATGCAGAGTTCGCTTGCATTGCTGCGAAATGCGTGGCGTTGAAGAAACTGTGTATTAAGGGGTGCCCAATTTCCGATGTCGGGCTCGAAATGCTTGCTTGGGGTTGTCCCAGTTTGGCCAAGATTAAGGTCAAGAAGTGCAGAGGAGTGAGTGGCGAGGTGGCGGAGTGGTTGAGGGAACGAAGGGGATCATTGATTGTGAATTGGGATGCTGGTGATATTGGATCAATGGATGCTAGTGGCTATGCAGGTGGAGCTGTACAAAGCGATGTGGAGTTTCCGGTTGATCACGGAGCTGTTGCCATTGCTTCAGCAAGTAGCAATGCTCCAGCAAGTAGCAATACTCCAATGGCATTATTTAGAACAAAGTTTGGTTTTTTTTCAGGTAGGAGTTTTGTTCCATGCACATTCAGAAGGTGGTCAGTTAGTCAGAGTAGTTCCAGTGCAAACTTGTAGGTGGAGTTTTTGTGGGCTGCAAAAGTTGCCGGCCTTAGCTCACGTTGGTACGTTGTTTACTGTGTATTCGTCAAATGAACATTCTTCTGTATTCATGGCCTGTTTCGGGCCTTTTCGTGATGTCGTATTGAATTTTTTGGTAATTTGTTCGTTACATAACTTGTTTACTCTTTCCATGATTTCAACATTTATGCGAGAACTCGAAACTACATTCGTTTTGATTAAGTTTAGGATGCCTGTTTGGTTTGAGCTCAATCTGGTTATGTCTTGCTTACAATCCAAGCAATAGTGCTCAATCTAATGTGTCGATGTTTCGTGCAATTGCTTTCACGATATGCCGATGGTGTTCAGTTTTGATGCACCAAGTGTTCACTAATCTGTTTCTGACCATTCCAAGAGAATTCGAAACTGCTTCGTGTTAAAAGTGCTTCCAGTCATCTTAAAAGTGCTTTTAAATACTCTTTAGTTTTGATTTTCTTGAAACATTTTAATTAAGCACATGGTTACTGCTTTTGAATTGGCAGCAGTAGTATTGCTTTGCCCACGTGAAAGGGTGATGAGAATATTGTTCCCATACGTTACATGTATCGTTTGTTGCCATTGGATTGAATGTTCCTCTGAATAGTAGTACTAATAGGTAATCGGTGACGTTCCAAACAAATAAATATATATATATATATATATATATAGGTAATCGGTGACGCGTATAGATTAGTCAAATCAGCCGATTGTGCAACACCAATTGCGGTTATGTTCCATGTGAACTGTTAATACGGGGGTAAACGCCCACACCACAATTTGAATTTGAAGGTCACGCTTACAGGTTTTTGATTATGAATTTTAAAAGAAAATTTACTCTTTTCCGATTCCTGTGGACGTATGGAAAAGTTATGTATAAAGTGATTCGTACTAACATTAGTTTTAAGGAAATTTACAAAAATAAACCTCATTAGGCCCGTGGAACAAAATTACTAAAGTGAGTTTCAATTGTTTTTTATTTGAAAAAAAATTACCTTCAGACTTAGCAATATTTTTTTAAGTTGGTAATCATCTTTTAAGATGTTTAGTTATGAATTATCGTGATTTATTCGTAGAAATTAGTCTTGTAAAATCTTGCTGCCACCACAACCCCCACCACAGCTGCTACCGCTGCCCTTATGATCGTTGTTACCTTTGCATCTCAACCACCTTCCCACTATTGACACCACCTTCATACCTCGACCATTGTCGCTACCATCACCACTGTTGTTGTCGTCACGCCCTACCATGTCCATTTTTGTCATTATATACAATGTTATCATTTTTGCATTAAAATTTACCAAACGCTTTACGTTGCTTTTCATACTTACAACTTTTTAAAAATACAGTTTATCAAATGTCCATCTACTTCATTTACAACTGATTATTCTTAAAACACAGCAGATAATTTTTTTTAAACACGACAAAACCTAGTTGGCCCTTAGAGTGGCTTGCCTCTTGGATCATATCATTCTAATGTAATTTTGTATTCTTTCGGACTTTATGGCTTATTTTACCCTTTAAAATTGGTTTTGTCTTACTTTGCCCTCTTGAAATTGTCATTTTCGTCTCATTTAGTCTAAGTTCACCCTATTTCACCCACTTCGTCAAATAGACGTTAAATTAAAGAGTAGTATGAACATTTTATTTTTGACACAACTCTTTGCCTTAAACCTACCAGCAAGAACAATCCTGATTCTATTTTTACAACTCTAAACTAAACCCAAGTTCGTCTCTCTTGCGAATTGCTATGGAGTTGTAGCTGCAACTGTTAGCAAAAGAAATAATTGGTTGTGTTTCAAAATGTAATCCAAGCCACTCATTGAGTCCAATGGCTGCAGCTACATTTCCGCAAAACTAATCCATGTGGAGTTTGAATTAGACTTATAAACAATGGAGTTGGGATTGTTTTAGTAGGCAAGTTGGGACAAATAGATGTGTCAAAGAAATGTTCATACTGCCACTTAGTACTACGGTCTAATGGTATTCTTTTTCACTTGTAAGTGAAAGGTATTAGGTTCGATCTTTGGCAAGGGCGAAGTTGAACCACATTATTATGGTAAACTCATTGTAAGACTTAGCCCACTCCCCCATCCTCTTAAGTATAGATACTATCGTTTGCTCGCAAAAAAAATAAAGAAGAAATGTTCATACTAACCTTTAATTTAATGTTTATTTGACGAAGTTGAGGAAGACAAAGTGAACTGAGACTAATAATATGAAAATAGTAAATTGTAGTTATGCTCCCTTAATTTTAACTCAACTGGAGCAATAGTCCCTTAACTAAAAATCCATTACCATTGGTCCATCAACTCATCAAAACGTGCAACTATGGTCCCTCAACTAAAAATCAATTACCATTGGTCGCTCAACTATAATTCAACTGGAGAAATGGTCCCTTAACTTTAACCCAATTGTAGCAATAGTTTTTTCAACATAACTCGTTTTGACAAAATTTTTGACGTAGTTAATGTAAAAGACCATAATTACACACTTTGATGAGTTGAGAGATCCTAATTGTATAAATGGTTATTCCAACATAACTTATTTTGATAAAATTTTGATGAAATTGATGAAAATGACTATAGCTACACATTTTGATAAGTTGAGGGACCAATGGTAATGGATTTTTAGTTGAAAGATCATTGCTCCAATTTGATTAAAGCTGAGGGACAATTGCTACAATTTACTTATACGAAAATAACAATTTTAAAGAGCAAGACAATACTAGTTTTTAAAGGTAAAATGAGATTAGATAGCTTAAGGGGGGCAAATAAATTAATAAAGAGTTACTTAGTATTACGGTCTAATGATATTTTTTTTCAAAAACGAATTTAAATTATGTTATTGCTAGGTCTAAAATATCAATCATATAGGAAATATCGGTATTTCAAAAACACGAAAATTTCGATGGAAATATCGGGATATTATCGATATCGATAAAAATTGAATAAAAACCACGGAAATTGTAAGAAAAACTTGGAAATTTTTATTGAAACTTTGCATTATATTTATTTAGTTAATTATTTATTAGTTTATCACAAAAAATTGGAAGGAAATACATTGCATGATAGATTTAACTGATTTAAGTTGATTATATAGCGAGCTGACAAACATTGTGAGTGTAGAAAATATGTAGTAATTAATTAAAGAAGTTTAAACATACCATAATCATTTATATATAATGAATTAGTACAATATTTTACACTTTATGCATTGCATGGTAAGATACATGAGTGATTTAGTACCACATAGAATTCCTATCAAGGTCTAAATTATCGATGATATCGGAAATATCGGTAGTTCAAAAATACGAAAATATCGAGATAATATTGATATTTTAAACCTTATTGCTAACCTTACGGTTTAACCCACTCTCCCACAAACACTTGAAAATATCAAAAACACCCTTGAGGTGAGGATCCTTCTTTGGAACATAGGCTAAACCCTATATACGAAAAACCATAAACCCTCTGTACCCTTTGATTTTTTCACCAGCCGCCCGCCACACGAACTTCGCGCCGTTGCTCTCCGCCTTGAATTTGGTCGTCACCGGAAAATGCCTCCAATGGATGATTTATTCGCCACAGCAGAGAAAAAGGTTCCTTCTCTCTCTATATATCACAGCTTCATACGTTTAGTCTCTCAGCTGAGCTTTCACCTTGCAAATTTTTACTCAATTCGAATAATTCGCCTGTTCTACTTTCTGGGCTGCCGATAAAACTGATTAAAAGGCAAATTAAGCTAACAAATTAACAAATTTTAAGCCTAAGCATTATTGGGTTGTAACTTTTTTGGTTTAATTGTGGGAAAAGTTGGATGCTTTTGTTTTGTGTGAATTTTGTTGATTTTTCTGAAATTTGTGGTCGATAGGTTCTTGTGGAAATTGTGAAATTGGCCCAACAGAGAGGAATGAAGGGTGATAAGGGAGACTGGAAGCAGTTTTTAAGTAGTTATGATAAGAAGTTTGGGGCTAGCTTGAGTGATCCCGGGAGGCGGTCTAATGACGTATTGACTGCATTTTTAAAGACTTTGAACAATGAGGATGATTTGAAGGTAATCAGCTGTGTCCAGTTTGTATGTTAATTTGATGGAACAGTTGTTTAACTCCAATGATTACTGTTGCCCCTTTCGTGTTTTCAGGTTTTGGCTAAAGTTGTCCAATGCCATACAAATCGCCAAGCCGTTGAGCAATTGTTAAAGAATTTTCCGGAAAATGAATCTCCGGAGCAGGTATGTTTTTTTGTTGCAGTTTGGTTATTGGTTTGGATGGGCCTGTAATTTTAAAGGCTTTTCTAGTTGTTAATTGCCTTTTTATTTTCAATATGCACAATTTGTTAGTATTAATTTTATTATGATGGTGGCCATGCAGAAGCTTGTCCGTGCAACTCTGGAACACCCACAATATCTGTTGGATTACTCATTCGCATCAAATGATCAGGTTATCTGGCAGTATCTCTGCTTGCATTTTTGTTTTAAAGTTGCATTAATGTGTGACTGTCTTAACATCCATATGAATCCTTGTGGTGAAATTGCTTCTCGCTTTCTGCATTGCTTCAGATTTCTTTATTACATACACAGGATATGCATTTTCCTACTTGCCTATGATCCATTTTAAGGTTAAGGTATTTTACGGTGTTGTTTGTCTACGTTTATCTGTTGGAAAAGGATACAACAACAACAACAAAGCCTTTTCCCACTAAGTGGGGTCGGCTTCATAAGGATTCGACGTGATCATGGAGTGCCGGCTGTCGACTACCTGACGCCCTCCCCCTCCTCCTTTATCCGGGCTTGGGACCGGCCATGTAAGACATAGGCGGAGTTTGTTGGAAAAGGATAACTTGTGATATTTTGTTTAGCAAACTGTTTTGTCGCTATTATACTTTTCATGGCCCTGATTTTGTAACACTGATTACAAAAACTTTTGGCATTTCTACTTTGACTAAATTATAAGTGATATGCTGTAGAAATCATAGCTTTTCAAATGGCTGTAAGTTTTACCTGGTCACGTGGTTTGTCTCCCTGTTAACTTGTATAAATGGCGAAGCAGGATTGGGTAGCTACAAAGCTAGGTAAAAAGTCTAAGATGATGACCTCAAGTGCAATGGTTGCTGTTGATTGTGAGATGGTTCTATGTGAAGATGGCTCTGAAGCTTTAGTAAAGGTGTGCGTTGTGGATGCAGAATTACAGGTATAGCTGCTCTACA